TCTTCTTCTTTGTTAGAATGTGAGACTTCTCAATTAAGTAAGCATCACCGTAGCTCTTTTCCTCTTAGTTCTTCCAGTTATCAGCCCAATCCATTTCATGTTGTTCATACAAACATTTGAGGTCCTACAAGAGTCAAAAATATTTTTGATTTTCAATATTTTGTCGTCTTTGTTGATTATTTCTCTCGTATGACTTAGTGATTTCTTATGAAAGACCGATTTGAATTGCCTAAGATCTTTACCACCTTTTATAATGAAATTTTAATTCAGTTCGATACCTGTATTAAAGTTCTTCAATCTGATAATGCCCTTGAGTATATTCAATCATTTATGAAAGATTTTTGTGTAGACTGTGGCCTAACAAAATAGCGTTGCCGAACGTAAACATCATCATTTATTGGATCTTGCCCGCACCTTAATGTTTAACATGCAATTGTCAAAACCATACTGGGTTGCTGTTGTTCTTTATTCAATTTATCTTATTAATTGCATGTCTGCCCTCATTTTGGGCAACAAACTCTCTTCTCATTATTTTATCCTGACAGACCGCCATTTAGACTCACTCCCCATATCTTTGGTTGTGTTGCATTTGTTAATCTTCTTGGTCCTTGTCAAGATAAACTTTTGCCTCGCTCAGTTAAATGTGTCTTTTTAAGATATTCTCGTACTCAAAAAGGTTATCAATGTTATGACCCTGTTTCTTACAGATACTACGTCAGTAGTGATGTCTTTTTTCAGTCATCATTTTTTGCATCAAGACATACACTTTCACTAGATTTAGTCTTTCCCAATCAGGGGGAGCCCTTGTTGCTAGTTATACTAGACTATATATCTACTTCCTCCTCGACTACTACACCTCTCTTGCTAGTTTATTGTCGTTCCAAGGACAAACACGTTGTTTCATATGCTCCAGCTCCACAGCTATCACCTAATTCTACCGAGGTCCTACCTTCTGAGCTGTCAGCTAGTTCATCCTCTTCCAATTTGTTTATTGTTCTGAAGAAAGTAACTCGTACCTATACTAGGCATCTAATTTCTAATTTTGTTTCCTTACATCGGCCTTTTTCATCATTCCGTTGTTTTACATCTACTTTGTCATCTGTGGTTGGTCCTACTTCCTTGACACAAATTTTGACATTTCTCGGATGAAAACTAACTACAGATAAGAAAATGAAAGCTCTTCATGAGAATCAAACTTGAGATCTCACTTCACTTCCTCCAGAAGTAGCCCGTTAGTTGTTGTTGAGTCTACATTATGAAATATATTCTTGATGGCTGTGTCGTGTGTTTAAAGGCTCAGTTGGTTGCCAAAAGATACACCCAGATATATAGTGTTGATTATTTTGAGACATTTTTCCCTATTGCTCGACTTAACTCTGTTAAAATTCTTATTGGTGTTGGTACTCTTAGTGCTCATCCAGTTGATAACTCTATGGATTCTATAGTTAAGTTAGATGCTGATCGTGGGAAAGTTTTTGATGACATAGGGCGCTATTGGAGATTGGTTGAAAAACTGATCTACCACACAGTTATGCGTCCCGATATTACATTTGCAGTTAGAGTAATTAATCAGTTTATGCATGCTCCTCGCAAGCCTTCTTGGGAGGCGACTTGTCGAATTCTTCGGTATCTTAAAGGAGTACCCGAGAAAGGATTATTATATCAGTCTTCATCATGTATAACTATTGTTGGCTTTTCTGATGCTAATTATGACTGGGCACGTAGTCGTAATGATAAACGATTTACTTCCGGTTATTGCACATTTGTTGGTGGAAATCTTGTTACTTGGCATAGCCAGAAATAGAATTTAGTTGCACGTTCAAGTGCACATGTAGAATATCGGACTATGGCTCCACGACATGTGAAATATTATGGGTGCGTGCTCTACTTCGTGATATGGGGATTAGTGTGCCTTCTCTTATGCAGATGTATTGAGATAATTGGGCAACTATTTTCATTATCAGTAATCTAGTGTTTCATGAGCGCATCAAACACATATTAGTGGATTGTCATTTTATTCGGGATAGCTTGATGCGAAAGGAGAATATCGCTCCATATATCAAGTCTAGTGATTAATTGGATGATATTTTTACCAGACCAACCTTCAATCATCTTTGTTCCAAGTTGAACATTTTTTATCTTTGCACTCCAGCTTGAGGGGGAGCGTTAGAGTTCTTATTTTTTATATTTTATATTTATATTAGATAATATTGTAATTACCCAAGATAGGATCCAATATAAATAAGAGAGTGTAGGACAACACTGCTCATACACATATTATTCTCTCATTCTTTTTCTCTCTTCTTCTCCTAACATTATGTTGTACTTTTACTTTTTAACTGTTTCCTTTCTCCTTTCCTACTTAAGAAGTTTTCTGATGTGGCTCGTATTAGCTCTGATACCAAATTGATTTAGATCGTAATAGGGAAGAATTAAGAATGAAAAGGGAAGAAGAAGGGGATGAGAGAAGCCATTGGTCATAAACTTAATTCATGTAGGAAGTATGCAAATACTTGTCTTTTAATTTATATCTCATTTCAACTCAAGTGATAGGTGATTCTCCTAAAGGGTCTAGGCTTCTTTGGATTGTTTGTCAATACTTCTTGGCGGAATCCTCCAATATCAATTTAGCAAAACGGACGCAATGAAAATCTGACATGCCACGCCAATCAAAATATTCTTTTAAATTAGCTAACCAATCCAAGAATTGATTGGGATCCGAAGTACCACAAAATGTAGAAGAATCTTTAATTGACTTTGTCATAAGTGTTGAATCCTTGTAGACATACATAGACTTGCGACGATGATGACCTCAACGAGAGACTCTTGAAACACGTGCATTAGAGGAACTCATGAGTGACTCTTGAAAGATATGAATGATATAAAAACAAATTCAAGAATGCAATCGACAATTTTAAAAAAATTTAAGTAAAAGAAAACATGTTTTGGATTCCTTGCAAATTCTCTAATTTTCTAATGAATGAAAATATTAGTCTCAAATTCTGTGGGAGTATGCATACCATAATCAAGAGAAAATTTTGAAACTTTTTAAGATGATTCTGCAATTTTATGGATCAGTTGGGGAGTTTCTGCAATTCTAGAACTTCTGGGGGAAAGATTCTGCAATTTTTACAACTTATGGGGTGATGTTCCTATAATTCTGATATTTCTGGGGGAAGATTCTACAATTTTTGGAACTTCTGGTGGTGGTTCTGCAACTTTTAAAACTTTCTGGGGTGTTTCTGTAATTTCTGAAATAGTTGGGATGTTGCTTTAATTTTTAGAATCTACTAGAGACAGTTCTGTTTTTTTTTTGGCTGGTTTTTTTTTTTTAACTGGACAATAAGATTTTTGTTACGATGAACAGTGCGCAAGAAACAGTGTGCATGAACAGTGATTTTAACGAACAGTTTTTTTTTTTCCTCATGAACAATGTTACTAAGATTTTTGTGATTTGTACGAATCGAAGAATGACTCTGATACCAAAGTCAATCTTAGGTAATCAAACTGGACAAAGTAATCACAAACACTAGAAGAATGTTGTCTAAGATTAAGCCATTGGTCATAAACTTGATCCATATAAGAAGTAGGCAAATACTTCTCTTTCAATTTATATCTCATTTCAACCTAAGTGATAGGTGATTCTCTTAAGGGGTCTAGGCTTCTGTGGATTGTTTGTCAATACTTTTTGGCGGAGCCTTCCAACATCAATTTAGCAAAACGGACGCAATGGAAATCCGACATGCCATGTCAATCAAAATATTCTTCTAAATTAACTAATCAATCCAAGAATTGATTGAGATCTAAAGTGCCACTAAATATAGAAGGATCTTTGACTAGTGTGATCATATAGGTTGACTCCAGGTAAACATCCCTAGATTTCCTATGATGATGACCTCGACGAAAGACTCTTGAAACATGTGTATTAGAGGAACTCATGAATGACTCTTGAAAGATGAGAATGGTATAAGAACAAATTCAATAATACAATTGATAATTACAAGAAGTGAGAAAACTCAACTAAAAGAAAATATGTTTTGGACCCTTTGTAAATTCTCTAATTTTTCAATGAATAAAAAATATTAGTCTCAAATTTCTATGAGAGTATGTATACCATAATCAAAAGAAAATTTAAAATTTTTTGGGGATGATTCTACAATTTTTGGAATTTCTGAGGTGATGTTTCTATAATTTTTTGAATCTACTGGGGATGTTTCTGCAATTCTAGAGCTTCTTGATGGTATTTTTGCAATTTGCTGAAACGTATGGAAGTGATTTTGCAATTTTATTTTTTGGACCTTTTGAGGATGTTTCTATAATTTTAAAACTTTCTACGGTGTTTTTGTAATTCTTCTGGGGTATTAAACACAAGAGGCAGCAATGAAATCGATTCTGAGTCAATGATAAACAGTGCGCACGAACAGCGCGTGAACAGTAATTTTTTTTTTCTTTTTTCTGGAGCGAGACCAAAACAGCGATGAACACCAAAACAGTGCAAAAGTATTTTTTTTTTTGATGAATAGTGTTGCTGAGATTTTTGTGATTTGTACGAATCGATAGTTGGGCTCTGATATTAAATTGATATAGATCGTATTAGCTCTGATACCAAATTAATGTAGATCGTATTAGGGAAGATATAGGGATGAGAATAGAAGAAGAAGAAGATGAGAAAAGAAGAAAGGAATGAGAATTTGAGAAAGAATCAATATCAAGAGTCAATATCAATAATCAATAATCAAGTCTAGTTTCATAACAAATATGTATCTCCTATATATATAAGGAGTTCACAAATCTTATATATATAAGGAGATCACAAATTTTAAAATAAATAAATAATCAAAATGAAAACTAAACCCTTAAAAATTAAAAGAAATTACTTAAAAGATAAATACTAAATTACCCTCATGATTAATCTAAAATATCTATCCAATTCCTACACAATCCCCATCATTTTCTGAGTTCTTACTTAAAACAGTGAATGAAAAAGAAAGCGAAGAAAACTACAGCAGCGAGAAAATACTCACGGCAGTATACTGAACCAAAGTCAGCAATTGCTGCATCACAGTTTCCGCTTCTTCTTGCAATTGCTTTTCAGCTATAAGTTCTAATCCCAACCTGAGTATGATATAAGAGAACAGTAAATGTAACGCAAGGACTCATTCAAGATGTGATAATAATCAAATAAAGCAACAATTAGATGCCACTGGAATTACTTCTCAAAATAACGGTCCAAGTTATGATATTGAGGATCTTTACAACGATTTCCGAAACGGACCACTTCTCCGGAAAAAATTTTTAATTCATCCCTGTTGCAATTAAAAAGTAAACCAATTATTCATTCTTTAAAACCACAAGGCATATTTATATATATATACTATTTCTGCTTATCAACCTCTTGTCAGCTGCAGCAATTCTCAGAAGTTCATCCATATCTTTTGAAACTAAACGCTGCACACCTTCTGAAGGTAGCACCACCTCTTTCAAATGTTTAATGCTATCCTTTGACAGGGACTGCATAAGATTGGCACCTTTGACAATTGTATTTGCAACTTCAAAAGCCAAAATTGAAATTTTATTTCCCTTTGTTGCCACCCCTGACACAAAACCACCACTGAGGTTCAAATTTGTCATGCTGCTACCAAGTGTATCCAAAACTTCTACGGCCTTCCCAAGCCCAGCAGTTCCTGCTCTGCCCAAAAGTGAACTCACTTCTGAAACCTATGAAACAAACAATCAAAACAAAAATGCAAAATTGGTAAAACTATAAGAAATCAGTAGAATGGAACATCAGCATTGTAAAAAGATGATAGTATCTCCAATGAACTGAAGTCCAAAATTTAAATAATTATCATCAGGAACAAAAAATTAGAATTACATTTGCGGCTTTTATGGCATAACGCATAATAATTGCACTCACGATGCCAATCAATATTGAAAGATGTAAGGCAGAACCATCACAGCACCTTACACGAGTGAAAAGTGTTTTAGGACTTTTCATTTGCTAAAAAATCATTTGACCAGGATGCTAATATTTGTTCCTTAAATAAAAGAATAAGTATTTTTTTGGACTTTTGATTTGATAAAAAAAAAACCATTTGAACAGGATCCTAATGGGTATCATAGACAGATGCTAGTACGCCCAATGAACTAAGAGCAAATTACATGACAAACAGAAAAACCACCATTCTGTATAATTTTTTGTACGATCAAGGAAAATACATAAATACCAAAAGGATCAACAAATTGGAATTATGTCTGCAGCATTTATGACATCATATTTGCATACACGATGCCAATCAGTCTTGAAAAAGGGAACAACAGAACGAAGAAACAAATTACTGCAGAGCACCTTAAGTAAATTAAAAGTGTTTTTTAGACCAAGAGAAGGAATTAGAGAGAAATACAAAGCCAATTCCCTTATTTTACCTGCCAAATGGGCCAAATCCAATTTCATGGTGTATTTTGCCCCAAATTATTTAACAAAGCGATGGCAATTGTCACACATGTACAGAATAGAGGAAAATGTGAAGCAGCCCAGGTCTGGAAGTTCTCAGCAAGAATGTGGGGCCCCATTGGGAATTTGGGATTAAAACAGACTCTAGGCTTTCTACATACTACATTTCAGCTCCATCAAATTGAAGAAACTCAAATTTATCATGTTCTAGTTAAGAATATGCGACTTGGTTCAGAGCCACACTATAAAGAGAAAGAAAGAAAGTGATGAGATGATTTGCAATTTGAACTACAGAAATAGTTCAAAAATGGAATACTTATTGTGATTAAAGGTTGAATAAAAGTTTTGCACTTTTGCCACACAATGTAAAACAGAAGTTAACAAAAAAATCTTGACATAAAATGAAAGTCTCAGAATCTGAATCGTGCTATGCTAGAAGGAATATTATATTGAATGCTATAAATTGGATTCATGGGAACGGTGGTCCTTCACCATCTTATGCTGCGTCCGTCATATGAGAGGAGAGATACTGAAGGACTTGTGATTCTGATGATCCAATAAAAGCTATAATTGGATCTTAATTATTAGATGAAGCAATTAAAAAGTAAAGGTTCTAAAAAAGAAGGATATCAAAGTAGAACTACCAAAAGGGGGAACTTTATGGCTAACCAAGTACCCTCTTGTCTCAAACTTGTGCTTGACCTTATATTCCTCCAACCTTTTTCTTTTTATGTCCTTCTAGCAAACTCTTCCTTCAGCCACATTCTACTTCTTCTCTTCTTCTTTCTCTTTTCCCATCACATTCCATCGTCTCTCGATATATCATCTACTCCGTAATTTTCCCTGAAGTTCTTTCAATATTTTTCCCTCATAATTAAGAAAAAACTTGAGGTGATGAAGTAGTGCTCTGGTAAGTAAAATTGTTACCTAGCATCAACTAAACAACATTGCTATATCAAAGTGGCAGATTAGACAAATATTTGAGGAAAGATCCACGAACATATACTGATGCGAGGTAGAGTAAAAGATTATCAATTCCTTAGCAATTTATGATAGGAAACAACAACTAAAAGTATGAGAACATAAAATCAGGCACTACTGTGGTTCCCATTCATAGAACCTATGTGTGCCTTACAAATGCCACAGAACAAGTATTGCCCCAGAAATTAGCAAAGTAGTAACCCTTTTCATACAATGCATCACTTCATTCAATGTCATATATTCTAATAATATAAAATCCAAGATTATGGTAGCAAAAAGGAACAATGAATTCAGGCATAGAACATACAAAGCAAACACATATATGTATGGCATACCTTAGCAACAGCCAGTTGCTTGGACTTTGTCGATCCAGAATTATTTGACAAAGCCCTAGACAACCGAGGGATCCCGTCATTCAAATCCTCCGGATGCATCCCATAGGAAAGAGCATTTAACTCTGGAAATGAAAAGGGTTCTCTTAATTGCTTATCCATGTTTTCCCCAATGGAAGAAGGCGTTGAATTGCTATTCGCTTGCACAGGCAATCCATGAGACTGATATACGATTCCAGAACCATAATAAGAATGACCATTAAGATGTGGAAAGCCTCCGCCTGCAGAACCATCTTCAGTAGATCTCCTTGAACAAAGTCCGCCCATTGCAATAGAAGTGGTGTCACAGTTCACTTTTGTTTTGGTTTTCCATAAAAAATTTCAAGACCCTGAAGTATCAATTAATGCCGAAAATCTTGTCTTGCAAAATGCAGGAATTTGAAGTGATCAAAAGCAAATCAAAGACTCCCTCAATCAGTTAACCACGCGATTGATCTAACCGTTATTTTAAATTATAGCAACTGCACCCCAATAACTCAATCCCATCCTCCACCAAAATTACCACAGTGCCAATTCTGATCATTACTGATAATCCAGTCCATTCCTACCAACTCCAAGTCAACAAAGCAGCACATTCCCCAATTTAGAAATACATGAACAAATAGCAAATAACAAAGAATCAAATCCAAGAAATAATGACAACGACCAATCATCATTTTTTTTTGGGTCAGGACCAATCATCATTAGAGCACTCAAATCCAGAGCAGAAAAATTCAATAAAAATAACAAAGATTCTATCAGATTAATGTAAAATCATAAAATGAACCCCAATTAATAGTACAATTATCAAAAGATATGCACCCAAAACAGCAGGACTTCAAAAAAATATATACAATAACCAGAATCAAAAGACAAAGACAAATGCACAAATGAAGCACAACCTGGCGAGAAACGAAAAATCGAGAGTTGGGTTTGATCCTAAAAACGTATGTCCACGTCTAGAGCAAAATATATACAATTCTTAGATGTATTTAAACAAAGGAACTTACCAGAAAGAGAAGGAGAGATAAAGATGTTGAGTTGGATCTATGAGAAGCAACCAGAGATTCGGGTCTCTGTTTCTTCCCACAAGAAGAGCTACATAAGAGTGAGTTAGAGAGAGAGAGACAGAGACAGAGACAGAGACAGAGAAATGTTATAATGATGATGATGATGAAGGAGAATGGTGATGGCGATGGTAATGAGAAGGAGAATGGTAAAGATAGAAAGGGAGAAGGTATAGTCCAAATGTAGAACTGTAGAAGTAGAGCCAGAGAGAGAGAGAAAGAATGAACCCAACCCACACGCACTGACTCTGCCACACTAAACCAGCCAGCCCAGAGCCCCAGAGTAGCTCTCTCTCTCTCTCGGTCAAACCCCAAAGCACTCTTCACTGTAATCTTAACCATGGTCAAGTTTAATAGTCATTCTATTTTACCACTGTGACTTTTCATACCACCCTCATGTATGACACGTGATGTTCACACTAACGAGTTCTTATCAACAAAATAATTGGCTTTACCCCAAGTATTTTAAAAAGGGGGATTACAATATATATTCTTAAATTATGTGTCTAATTCATAGTCAAAATATTAATTTTGTGGCTTAATAATAATAATTCAAACCTTCAACCATAAATATATTAGTCAATTAAGAAAATATCTTATAAGGAATGGAGATAGTGTGCAATTAGGATTAGTTAGCTAAACTTAAGCACCTAATCTAGGGATATAGGTAATATAGTAATTAAGGGCACTTTATCAAAGTTGAGGAATAATCCTATTTGTCGATGAATTAGGATTGAAGAACGGATTACTAGTAATGGGATGGGATTAACGGTTACTGGTTCATTTAGAGATTGAATAGAGAGCAAGACACAAATTTATACAACCTTAATTCAAAATCATCGAAATGCATAAAAATCTCGAGGTGATTTGGTGCATATGATTCGCAACTAATTAAACGTTCAAGATTTACGTTACAATCACGATGAAAAAAGACCAAATAGTTAGAAAGATTATGCGTTACCAATGAGGGAAAATAAATAATAATAATAATAATAAATAAATAAAAACACAATGTGGGGCTTTCAATGTAACACCCAAACTCACACTTAAAATACAATTTTCATTTTGTCTTCTTGAGGTCAAGGGTTCAAATCTCATTCCCCTCCCTAAAAAAAAATAATAAATAAATAAAAATAATAAAATGCAATTCTCATTGACTCACACATGCCAATAAATAGAATAAGGTTTAGAATTTTTTACATTAGCTAATAATTTAGATTAATTTTATTTACAATATCATACTAATGGTACAAATACATTTTGTGGTGTGTGGGTGTATATATAACTAAAAAACGTATCACAGACACTTATTAAATTATGAAAAATACAAAAGAAAATTTGTTTTAAGTTGTAGTGGTCTTCTAATTATAAACAATTAGTTTAACAAATTTAAGAATTTAAGTTGTGGTAAGTAAATTAATGTAATACGGAACGTTCATAGCATTTACTAATCGATATAAATAAAATGGGTTATAATATTGTCAATAAACATAATTAAAGAAGATGTATTAAAACTAAAAGCATAAAAAAAAAAGAAAATGATTGACTCACACATGCTAATAAATAGAATCTATATATTTGTACCATTGTAAATACCATTGGCAATGCTTTATTATGCAACTTTAATTGAGAAATAACTTTAATTCAATTATTGCATGCATTTCTGTCATTTTCTATATTAGAATCAAAATATGGATAACTCGTGTCTGAAAGCACAGTATAACATAAATGAGAAGTGATTGATTTGGGATGAGAAATTCAATGTGAGTAATTTTAAAAGAGATATTGGTGGTTGTGTTTGGCTGAGTTTATTTAAGACCGTCGAATTAACTTATAGAAGTCTATCATATTTTATATTACAAATTATAGATATTAGAATAATTCATGAATACTAGAATAACGTGTCTTTTAGGGGGAGTTTCCATCAATGTTCCTTTCTTTGACCAGTTAATCTCTTCTCAAGCCATACTTTCTTTTTTAATTGTGCTAGTAAATAACATCATTTGTTGAATTAACCATCATATGATTGGATCTTGACCTTATGCATCACTCATGTCCGTCTTTTTTTTTTTTTGTTAAATGAATTACACTTTGGACCCTGAAAAGTCAAAATCTTTGAGGTGTACTGTCAATAAAATAAAAAAATAACAATATAATCTAAGACAACAACTCTATTGATTTGTCCAACAATTTTTTGTGCTATAGTCTTTATATTTTTCTATTTTATACTCAATTATTTCTATATTACTTTATTTTAAGAATTTTATATGATAATTTCATATTCAATTATATTGAAACATCTTCCATTACTCCCTTTTTATGTGATTGAATGTGTAATCTGATAATTTTTTTAATCTTTTAGAGATTAATTAGAAATTTAAAATTTTTTCAAGGTGCAAAATGCCATTCGGACTTTTTTCTTTGATGCATTTGAATTTTTTTCTAATCCATCTCTATTACTATATTATACTTTTGGGAAAAAGCTTGAAAATTCTTCCCTCTCACTTTTCTAATATTCTAGACTTTTGAATTGTTATTCAATTTTGTCTCCAATTAACATACGACACTTGCCATAACTACCCCAAGTAAATCTCACATTAGTTTAATTGACTCCTACTTATCTCTAGCTACAATTTTTACTTTAAACTCTACCTTATATTAACTATTTGAAAAAATCCTCACTTTCAATATAACTCTTATTTTATCTCAAAGTGGGAGTCACCCCGTGACTTTAGACATGGTGAAAAATGTTAGTGATCGTTGGATAATTCTATTTAAAGCCGTCGAATTAGTTTATGCAAATCTATCATATTTTATATCATAGATAATCAATCCAATTTATTGCAAATATACATAAAATACTTTTGTGAAAATACTTTATGGCATGGGTGGGGAGTGGGGAATGGGGGTGGCCATAGGTTGGGGGGCTTGCAACGATAGTTAAAAAAGAATTTAAATTCTATTCATTATACGGAGTGATTAATAGTTGTCTTATTAAAATAATCACTATTATCAGACGTTTGAAATTTAAAATTTAAATTCAATGTTTGTTTACCTGTTACATCATTTGGTAAAGAGATTTAGGTTAGAATAATATTATTGAATGACACATCCATCTTTTTTTTCTTCTTTTGCCTGGTATTTTTAAAACACTGATAAAAATGTTGTTCATTTTGAGGCATGATCTAGACTTCACTCGCAACTAATGATTTTCTTCCTTTGTTTCTTTAATAAAGGGGCTATATCATCACTTCATACAAAAAAGTCTAGTTTACATGACAAGGATGAGAAATGTAATTTCATATGTCATTCAATTGTATGAACAACACTATTATGATTACTATAAGTATTTATTTTTTATATTGATCAAAAATAATACAGGAATAATACAAAATAGAAGTAAAATTTGCATTGCTACTGCAAGATTTCAGTCATCAAATCTAGATGACATGAGTTTAGGTTGTTCTTCTAAACTCCATCCATATGGATGTATTTTTTGTGTTAAAAAAATGTACATTTAATGTTAGCCGATACTGCCCCCACACCCACCCATACACACATCAAGGAAAAACAAAAATAGAAATCTTAAGATTACAAACAAACAACAAAAACAAAAATAGAAATCTAGTTTAGATGGCAAGAACAGGAATCATGATACCAGCAATAAGATTCTAATCAAATTAATTTCATCAGCATGTTTTTTTTCAGATAAAAGAAACTAGCTGAAAAAATGTATGATTAGTGATGCTAAATTGGGAATGAATTATCCAATTTTATTAAATAGTTTCTTTCATGGTAAACAATGAAATTCCTACTAGAAATACCATGTACCAAATGTAGAAATGTTAAAAAAAAATAAAATTCTCACTATATTGCTCTCAATTCCTGCTATCGAAACTAAGTCCGCACATAACTGTTGGATGCATTTCTTCAATATGACAAAATTACTTATTGAGATTTCTAATTTGTATCATGTAATTTAGAATAAAACAGTAACAATCAACAATGAAACAGTAACATGTAAATCTATAATTAAATAAATTGACCTGTTTGCAAATCATAAACTGTGATTGAACTTTATAAAATTATAGATCAAAGCTAGTGTTTGACATTATGTTCCAAAGACAGATTCGCTACTACATTTGGTGTTTACAGAAATCTAAGCGTTTGTCTCATATAATACAATTGTCTTCACGTAATTAGAAGTAACACTTCAATCTAATTGTCCAATGAACCAGAATTGTGTGTTATACTCTCAAAAAATACAACGGGTAATGACGAATTTATTAATGTAATGATTGCCTCAATTCGTAAAGTAGTTTAGTACAAAATAGTAATAAATTTGAGTTATTTATAGATAAAATAATTACTATTTCTGACAATCACCATGCGAACAGATGCAACTCAGAAGACACAATACAGCCTAGCTAGAAGACACCAGTGATATCTGCCCAATAATGAGTACATACGAATTTCAAATTTGGACAAGAGGAAAAATTTAAATACGAACCAGTGCAAAACTTGAATTCTAATGGGCGGAAATTAAAATCGAGTTAAAAAATTCAAACTCAATCCGTTAAACGAATTTTCTTCAAAAATATAATGTTGGCCCTACACCACACTTGTCCCTGAGCCCTGCTCGGTCGTGGCGTCTTGGGCGGGTGGCTCGCACGTGTGTGGTCAAATCGAAACCCAGGTGAGTGTTTGTTCCGCTTACAAAATTGTGGTACCCCTTGCGGCCTAACTTATAGTGCAAACTTAACATATATATGTTAATGTAAAATTTCTTACTCAACTAATATGAGATTGGTGTCAAATCCCACATTATCTTAACCTCTATTTCCACATTCAAGATAATCATTTTAGAATCTATTTTCTCATTCATCTCTTACTTGATTTGGACAAGTGAATATATTATATTATTCTGTTCAGAATAGAACATGAACCCCTAAAAATTTATTCAAAACAATGAGCAGATCTCAACTTTAATTTAAATTTAAAACCGACCAAAATCAATTTTTAATGTTCAAAAACCGCTTTAGTCAAACAATAACAAGGGTAGGAATGTACTT